GCCCCGAGGGGCTGCGCTGGGTGCGGTCTCGGCAGGGGAGCCACAGGGTGAAAAGCAGCGTTGCCATGACTGCGGTTTTCCTAATGATGGATCAACACTAAACTCGCAAACTCGAGCTTTTTCCTTCATTCTTAAAGCTGTTATGAACTGCGGGTTTCGTTTTACCGAAAAGAAAAAAAACCCAACAACAGGAAAAGGAAGAGCGATAGCGATGATAATGGCTTCTGCTTGGTTTTAAAACGTTGGCCAGAGGATTTGCAGACGTTCAAGCGGGCTGTGCCCTTTCTTGAGCCGAGTCCTGCTCTGAGCCCATTATTCGTGAACGTCAGCTTTAACTTCGGCTGGGGAAGGCTGCTGAAACTTTTAACGTGGCTGTACGTTTTCCATGTGTTTGGACAGTGTGAGAATTTTGTGCCTTTCTATCGATTGGCTGCCTGTCAGTTGCTCCCCGATTTCCTGAAGGGAAAGCTGCTTCCTGCTCGCTCCTTTCTTCTCCTCTTGCCGAGGCATCTCCTGTTGGGCACTGTTGCAGAGGGTATTCTGGACCTTTGGACTGGCAGAACTTTGTTCTCATTTTTTTTTTGAAGTACATCATTAATTAGGAGAACACAGGACCAAGAACACTCTTACAAATAACGTGTTTGCTTAATGCTGTGAACAGCAGCTGAATTAATATTTATTTGCAGTCAATTACCATGTAGGTACATAAAAATCACTTTGCTGTTTCTTCTTCTAACTGCCGGTTACTAGGACTCATGGCACTGTACTTTTCTTGGAAAAAAATACGGATTTTTCCCACAATGCACACATTTGTGACACCCTGTAGTAACTGGCTATAATCATACAACAATACGGATGCATAATTGATTTGAAGTGCGACTTTTACACTTTACCTCCTTGGGCACTGATTCTAGTCCATGTTTATAGTAGCTCTAGTACAGGTGAAGTTCAGATCTATTTAGTAAAGGTTGTTATTTTAAATGAGGAAAACTAAACGTCCTTATAAATGTGAATACATTTCCATTATTCAGTGGCTTTTAATGGGCAGACTTTGGGTTTATTATGCTTGGCTCTTCCATTCTTTCAAAACTCATGTGCTACGTAATTCTTTTGCAAGACTGATTTCTTTCTGTTTCCTTGAAGTGTAATCCTGTCTCTGTTATCAGTGTGCTGGCTCTTTGTGAGGGAGAGTAGAGCAAAACTTTGTGATTCAGTTCTTCCTTTAAGGGCTTTCCCAGGAAGTACCAACTTTGGCACGTAGCCTTAATCACTTCTGAAAATAACAACAAACAGATCATTCAATAATTATATATCTGTCATCGTATCAGCACCAAAGCTCAGTGATACATTTGTCTATTTAAATGAAAAGGAGAATGCAGAAAGCAGAAGTTTTCTGGTATGGGTTAGGGTAATGGATTAGGAAAAAATATGTTCAGGACAGATAAACTAGGCTGCTGTGACTTTTTGGAGTCATGTTTGGTTTAGTCTTCCTCACCCTTAGGTTGGAGATAGAAATGCTCTTAAGGTCAGTAGGAGGAGTTTAATGAAGAGAATATTATGAGTAAGATGCTTCCTGGACTCGGGTTTCAGGCATGTGACAGAAATGAGCTTTAGAGACCTTCTGGAGCCAGGAGTGAAAGGGGGCTAAAGCTACTTCAGCAGTCACTGTCGCTGTGGGAGGTACAGATGCAAAAGGATTAGTTAGTTAGCTGTGAGACTTACCTCTCTCTGCCCTGTGAGCTAGGTGTTGCTGATACCACAGAACAGAAGCACTGGTGAGATGGGGCTTTGTTGCTCAGGCATTAGTTTGGGCTTCAGTGGTTTGAAAGTGGTGATGCTTGGCCATAAAAAATCGCAGTTGCTCATTTTGCTGTAATTTGAAAAGCTGCAGTGTGGCTGGATTATTTTGGGGGTTCCGTATTCATGACAGTATCATATAGAAGTATGATATAGAAGGTTTCTATCACTGTTAATGATGCTAGCGTTACAGGTGGAATTATTCTGATGCACTTATATCTCGTTTTTTTAAACACAATTCTAGGTACAAGCATAAATGGCTCCTGGTGTCTCAAATGAGAAGAAAGCTGATGATGAACAGTCTTCAAAGTAAGATTCAGAAATTAATTATCTTGTCCAAGTTTACACTTTCTCCCCAAACTCATAACACTCTCATTTATTTTAAGATAAAGTTTATGATACAAATATTGATTATAACATCCAGTATCTACTAGAAGCTGTTTTGACAGATGAAGTCTCTATCTGCTTTAACTAGGCCTACACAGAGGGCTTTGCTGGCTAGCCCTTTTCATTTATCATGACAGTGAATTTTTCGAAGCATAGGTGATACCTGTTTTAATATATTTTTTAATCCAGTGAGCTGTTTAATTGTTGACTTTTGTTTTTGCATATGGCCAGACCTACCTGCTTCAAGAATTTGAACAATTATTTTGATCTGTTTATCTGGTCCTTACTGTAGGCTTATTTTAGTAAAATGTGTGTGTGTGGTCCTCAGGTGCTTGTGTTTTGTTTAAACCTCCGGAAGTTGTAGGTGCTTTACAACAGTGCAAGGGGAATAAACTGTCAGCTCCTTAGAATTACAGGCCAAATATTTTTATCAGGCAAACTTTGCCTCTACTGTAAATCCATGGCATTGGTCCTAGGTACACATAGGAATACACATAGTAAGCATAGTAATATGCTTACTTTTATTGCCCGTTTTACCCCAGGGTCCAAGTCTGCAATCAGATCCGGATGGGCAGATAACCAGTACAAGTTAGTAAAAGCCCCTAGCTGCAGTGAGGCAGTGGGTTGAAAGGTGTTGTTGGTAGGGTATGAGATCAAAAAGGTGAAATACAGTCACTGCCAAAGAAGGAAGCAAGCTGTATTTAGGCCAGGCATGAGGACAGTGGTGTTGGCACACACCACATTAATTTCCCTGTACTTTTAATAGAGGCCTCGCCTTTTCCCAGTTTATTTCCTGGAGAGAAGCTTCTGTTGCTGGTATTCTCATAACGAGGGAAATAATTTTTGCTTGCCTGAGAACAAATTGTGAAGTGATTTCAAATTATTGCCTATTTGTATGTAAAAGCCATTCCAATAAACATCAACACAGCCAGCTATTTGATCTGCATTAGTGAGTGACCTGTAAAATATGGGTAGAGAGTCCCACAAAACCAAACAGGAATAATTCAGAGGAGACACCCTGGGAACTTTACTGATGTGAGCTGGCAAAATCCTGGGCTGCTTGTCCCTTTCTGAAGACCCATAAATTGTTCTTTATTTCTCCCAGAGTCAAACAGGTCTCTTGGAGGGAAGAACAAAGGCAACCAAAGCCTTTGGATCTACCACAGGTGGAATTTGTATGATGAGAGGGATATGAGGCATGTGGGAGATGGAAAGAAATTACTCCTGAAGGGGTGAATGAATCCTCTGCTTTGTTGGGCTGCTAGTCTGTGGAGGACAGGGACAAGCAGGGTGGTTTGGGATGGATACCTTTTTCTTTGTGTAGCCACTGCTGGATACTTAGTGACCTGGGAGAAAGAATTTAAAGAACAGAAACAATTGTTATACTCAGAATATTGGGATTGTAACTATTTGCTTTCTGAGGGACAGTTCAGACACCTCAGTATGGGCATTGAGGCCACTATAGGCTTCTTAAGGTAATCAATTCGTCCTGCATAGAATCTACAGAAAAGCACTGCCTTTATGGAGAGGCATTAGGAGACAGACAAGACAGCCTAAAACATCTAAAATAGCACCAAACATCTATGTTTAGGCTTTGTAGTTGTTCCTGTAATGCCTTAACAATTTTTTGCATAAACTCCAGGCAAACATTTTTGTTTGTCTCCTCTGGCAAAGCAGTTTGTATTTGCTGAGCCATTCAGTGTCTGCTGTGAGCCTTCATTAAGCTATTAAGTCATCTTCTTATGTCTGGCATTACTTACTTACTTACTACTTGATTTCATCTCTCAGAAACTACTTTGAAGTATCGACCAGTATTTTGCTTAAGCTTGTGATTATTGACTAGTCTTTCCTACCTGTTTCAATTGAACTTAAAACACCAGGCATAGAAGGCAGACGTTTTATGACTCATTCAGCTTGCTTGGTTAGTCTACTGCCAAATTTTCCATGAAGTCAATCCCACATAATGCAGTTTTCCCTCCTTGCCTTGTCATTTCCTGATTCTTCTGAAAGGTACCTTTTTTTAAGCTTCCTTACAGGAAGCAACTTAAGAGAAAGCTGGTTCTTTTTACTTCTTCCTCTCTCCTTTGCATTTTTTTTTCTCATCCATGGTTTTCTCTTTGCTTCACATTTCTGTTTGCCCCTTTCCTCTCCTGTATCAGATCCTCTTATCTTTTTGTTACCATTCTCATGCTGTAGAGTTTTTGCCTCCTAGCTGGATGACACAGAGTTGCAGTGAGCCAAATTAACAGAAATCCCCTTTGTAGGGGATAGAAAAGCCCAAATCATTCCACCTCTCTCAGCCGGCTAGGAGGGTCAGTCAAAACACAGATGTCAAGTTTGCTTTCCAGCTTTGTATAGATTATCTATGTAGTAAGGTGGTCTGTTGAATATTCCCAGGTCCTGCTGCCATTGTTCTGCCCATAAAGGCCCCCGCTGGTTTACAGCTTGAATATTAAGATAAAGGTTGCAGTGTTGCAAGTGCATCTTGCCATCTGGGATTTTCTTCAACAATTTCATCCTGTGGAATAAATGGAATGTTAAATATCTTATATGATTTATTAGGAGATATAAGGTGGTCATGAAACGTAGCATTTCATAATTTCATAACATAATGAATGAGGAAACAAAAGGTATTGCAGGCATACTTAGGTGTGGCATTTCTCAACTTTTACTGATTGACTTTGCAAAATTAGCATCCGTTCAGTGTAGGGGTTTCTGAATACTCTGTATGTCTCACAATGCTGCTGTCCCGGCAGAGAGAATTATATCTGTCTCTGCAACCCTCACCTGGAGAAAATGAAAGAAGACATCCTGTACCATTTTGCTCTTGGGACTGGTACCCATGATTTTCCAGCATTGTTTGGAGATGTTAAGGTAGGACACTGCATTTCATTCAAAAAGCCTAAGCTTGTCTGCATAAGGTGGAAGTATAGCTGTCTTCAAAGTAAGACTAAACGTGCCAGTCTACCACCAACTGAGGAATTAATAGGAAGGGGGTAAAATTTTGTGGGGCTTGTCACTTTCAATAGTAAGCAGATTGGGGTAATTGTTTCTGACTGTCTCTCTTCATCCAGTAAAAAGGCAAATGCTGCAGTCTTTATTCAGGTAGAACTCCATTTTGGGGGGGCTTTCAAGCTTTTACTAGTTTAAAGAGGATGAAGGCATTTGAGTGCTTATATTGAAGGGTTTGGTTTCTTCTGTATTTTTTCTTGATGACCTTTTAGAATGATTATGAGAAAAATCACATCTGGGAATAGCTTTGTATTAACTGAATGTAGCTGCATCCTCATGTTGGTGTTTGCATATTTTTTGCTATTCTGAGTCATGCAATTGATTTTGTTTTGTTGAATACTGCCCTCCAGTTTGTATGTGTTGGAGGAAGTCCTTCACGGATGAAAGCTTTTATCACCTACATAGCTGAAGAACTGGGGCTTGGGAGCCCTGGCTGTGACTTTCCCAACATCTGTGCTGGAACGGACCGTTACGCAATGTACAAAGTGGGGCCTGTTTTGTCAGTCAGTGTAAGTACCTCATTTAATCAGGTATGGGACACAGTTCAGTGTTGCTGTTTGAAGCAGAAAATCAGAATGCACATTTCTTTTAAACACTTAATAGATGGAGGCAGGTTTCTAAGTATGTGCCAGCCATGCTCAAAATAGTGCAATCAGCTAAGAATGCCTTTTTAGCCTTTTATTCTAAGAGGGCAAATCTCTGAGACCTTCACTCCTTTCTTGCCTCCTTTTTCCTTAGTGTTATCACTGAGATGTTGCAGCAATGGCCTAATAATTTTTTGAGCAGACTTACCATTGCTTTATCCCTGTCCTGTGTCCTGCATAAAGGGCAAAAAAGGTCACTTGATGCATGTGTGGTATTGGAAAAAATGACTGTATTACATCCAGAGCTAAGTGTCATTGTCAAATGTGCTAACATAGCTTAAGAGTAGCATTTGATGTGATTTGTGCTGCCAACTCATGTATACATTTTAAAACTTCATACCTTTAATTTATAGATACATACTTCAATGGCAATTTCATAACTGCAGTATCATTCTCCACCTTTTTGAGCTGTAATTATTGCATGATCATGCAAGCTAAGGTGGACTTACATTTGCTGAACTTTGTGACTAAAACACAGTGCCTGTGTTTTGGAAAAACTTAGCTTAACTATTCACTAGCACTTCAAGTTGGTAAAATATCAGAATGGGGTTTTTCTTGTGTTTCAGAAAAGTTCTGTGATTAAATTAATTTGTCAACTGTTAGAAAAGAACACTACTTATACTCTTGAGAATGTAAATATTTTATAATTAATTATTTTCAGAAATACTGTACTTGAGCCATAGTCTGTGAAAGCCAGTGGGAGTCTTTCTGTTTACCTGCAGTAGCCTTTCGGTTGGACCATTGGTTAGCGTTTTTGTGAGAGTGAGTTAGGAGACATTTGGAAAAAAATACCAGGAAGGAGATACTGTGCAGCTCCTTCTTCCTCATGTATTTTGCATTGTCTGTGTGAATGTTGAATATGAATTTCTGCTTTCATTTCAGCACGGTATGGGCATTCCTTCTATTTCAATCATGTTGCACGAGCTGATCAAACTGTTGTATCATGCCAAGTGTTCCAACATAACCATTATTCGCATTGGCACCTCTGGTGGAATAGGTATTTCCCCTCTTGATTTATTTTTTTTCTTCAAACCAAAGCATCTTTGTAGGAGAGTAAAGCATCTCTCTGCACATAAGTGGTTGATGGTCAGAACAGTTTTCCACAGGAGATGAATTTTGAAGGAAAAGGCAATATCTACCCCCAAACAGAGACAATGCACTTAAGAGATGTGACAATGTGAGAAGTACATTCCTGTCCTGTATGAAAAATATAAGATAAGAAAGACTATATAGTGAAAAAGGAAAAAAAAGAAAAAGTTATTTTGGAAATTATTTCTAATAATAATCTGGAGCAGCTAGGCATGTGCAGAAAAAAATCTCTTGGTGAATTCAGGGGCAAAATTGCCACCTCTAAAGGAAGCAGGATTGGATCAAAATGTATGTTTTATGTGTGTGGAAACAAAGCATTAACTATATTGTGAAGCTTTACTTCTTTCTTTTTACTGCAGGTCTGGAGCCAGGCTCTGTGGTTATAACTAGGCAGTCTGTAGATGCCACCTTCAAACCTCAGTTTGAACAGGTTGTTCTGGGAAAGACTGTAATTCGCAGTACAAACCTAGATGAACAGCTCACTAAGGAGCTGATGCAGTGCAGTAATGAAATCGGTCAATTCAATACAGTCATTGGGAACACTATGTGCACTCTGGATTTCTATGAAGGTAAGATTTCTGTCTGGTGACAGACTAACAGAAGTATGTTGGTAAGCAGCAATAGATAAACATTAAGTAATATTTTAACATCAAGGTTCCAGTTCACTGAACAGGGTGCATTCCCTACTTTGAGTTGTCTTGTCAACTGTAATTAACCTGTTCTTCATATATGCAAAATTAAGCATTGTGCTTAGCAATTTGCTGAATTGAACATTTAATTTTGTGGAGTTTTATTTCCCCCCAGCTCTAACAGATCCTCTGAAAAACATATAGTCTGTCTATATGCTTTTCAAGTACATGTCAGTTGGGTGTGTTTTGTCACAAAATTACTGTGATTTACTGGGGCATCCTAGAGAATTAGAGGAGTGAGCATTATTTGTGTCTGGTTTGTGCTGTTTTTTGGTTTTGTTTTTTTTTATCTTTTTGTTTGGTTGATTGGTTTCTTTTTGTCACTCATTAAGTATCTAAAGTAAATATTTTCCAAAAGAAGTGTTGGAACTTGTTTCCAGTGCATGTTTTGAGCAAATCAGTGATCATACAGCTGAAGACGATATTCTGCTGAGTTGTGTCAATGCTGGTATCTAGGAGGGACAAACCTCCAAGGCTTACTTTGCATAAACATACATTCAGGCGCTTTTCTCATCTCCTAGGTCTATTCACAAGCAGCTTTCATTTTCTTTAGCTGTTACTGAATAGGTGACAAAGGGTCCAATGCAGAAGAGAACACTGGTTTTCATGGTAGTGCTCAAGCTTGGCCAGAAGCAGACACAATCAGTTTGTTTGTCTCCTCAGTCACCAATCACAGGTGCAAGCTACACTAAAAAAGGTGTGTCAGGAATGTTTCTAGGTCACACAGCAAAAACAGAACAGGCTCAAGGGCATTAATCTGGGAGTACACCTCCTGAAAACAAAAGGTACTGAGTAAAAGACTGTGTAATATATCTTTACTGTACATAACCTGCTGCTGTTTTATCTGTAGGTGTTATTCTGGAACAATTTGAATAAACTGATTTTCTAAAAAAATTATAGTAGTGATAGCTTAAGCGGCTCTTCATCTCTTACCTTAGAGAGTCTGTAAGTAATAAAATGTTTATCCTCTTAAGGTAGCATCAGGAAAGCATTATCAAGCTTGGCAGTTATTATAGACAATGATGAAACAGAAAAAATACAGCACTTCCATGCAGCTTCAAGTTTGTTGCTGAATTTTGACACATGCTGCATGAGGGAAACTACTAGTATTTTCCCATTTATGAATTTGAGAATTTAAGCTGGAGAAAACCAATTAAAGTAACTGTGATTCACATTATTAAAAAATGCAAGTCATATGTAGAGTTTCCAACGATAGCTAAGAATAGCTTTGTCCAATTTGTCTTGTGCATGAAAATAAAGAATATTAGTAA